CTGTGACTCCTTTGAGTTGTCATAAAATCCTACAGTCTTGGGGAATGATTGGAGTCTTAGAAGTCATGAACTCCATCTTCTCTCCCTGATCTGTCATTTTCAGATAGGTGGTGATAGAGTCAATACTTGGTGAGGCCTTCTAGTCTATTGATGGAGTTCCTGAATTAAAAAGATCTGACCTTGAACCAGAATTTGATCTCCGTCTGCCCTATTCCCTCCCTACTCTCCTTCTATAAACCACAGAGTTAGTTTATTGGCACTTTTAATTGATGGCTTTTCAAATATTTGAAACAGCAATTGTTATTTTTTGTTTTTGTGTTGCATGTGTCTGGTCCCCAGCCCCTATTCTTCCGTGTTTCCTCACAGGATGCGCTTTCAGATCCTTCGCTGTCTCGGCTGGGTCCCCCTCAGTCCTTCAGAGAATGCTCGTGTCCTACACCCAGCTGTGTGGTTGGGTCTAATAAATTTGAAGCGTTTAGTGATTAGATGATCTAGTGCTCATTTTCTTATTGCCTCCTGTTCTAAATTCCTTTTTATCAGTATTCATTTTCCTTCCAGTTTAAAGATGCTTGTCCTTAGGACAGGAAGACAAAAGCAAAATAGGAATTGGATAATTCTACATTCTGTCAATCTTCTATCATTCTCCCCAAACATAGCTTTAAACCATGCAGTCTCAACGGGGATGCTATTACCCACAAGGGAGCAAAAATTGTCTCTTGGGGGGTGAAAAAGTCTTAGATATTAAACTGGTCTGAGGCCTTCCAAAGCTCACCCCCACCTGACAAAATCTTATTCCTTAGTATTTAATTCCTCTTGTTAGAGAGAATTTAAATTTACTTTTTCTTCTTAGGGAGGTGTTAATGAAAAAAAGAACCACTTTAAAACCAAAGTGCCTTCACCAAAGCGCTAAAATGTTTTTAGCATTTAAAAATAATCCCCAGTCTCAATGGGAGTTTGGCCTTTTTAATTCTATTCTTCAAGGAGCCCTGGTGGTGCAGTGGTTAAGCACTCGGCTGCTAACTGAAAGGTTGGCAGTTCAAACCCACCAGCTGCTCCACCAGAAAAGGATGTGGTAGTCTGCTCCCATAAAGATTACAGCCTTGGAAACCCTATGGGGCAGCTCTACTCTGTCCTATAGGGTTGCTAGGAATCAGACTTGGCTTGATGGCGATGGGTAATTTTATATATTTGGTGTTTCCTGAAGTGTGTTCTAGTTTTCCATGAGTGTTAATGTGAAAAAAGGGCTCTGTGTAAATCTGGGAAAAGCTGGGCTTAAGGTGAGTTAAAGCAGGTTTCTTTACTGCAGGACTTCTCAGGACCTTTAACGTGCAGATGTACACTGAATTTCAGAGGCAGGGTTGTTTCACAAATTTTGCCTGCTCGTGAGGAGGGCACTCAGACCTCAAAGCTCTGCCACTTCTGGCTGTATAATCTCTAGCAAGTCACCTCAGCTCTTAGAGCCTGTTTTGTAATCTATAAAGTAGGGCCAGTAATACTGCCTTCCCAGGGTGGTTTGGAGAAATAACCAAGCTACTGTATACTCAGCACAATGGCAAAAATAAAAATAGAAAAATTTAAAAGCCCTTGGCAGAACAGTTATTACTATCATTTATTATTACTGTTAATGAAGTTAATAGCCTCTGTGAAGGCTCGTAGGAAGAATCTTGTTTTGTTGGGGTGGGGGGGAACATAGGCCAATACTTCTGTTTGCTGGTATGAGAAATTAGCGTAAGTAGTAGGTGTCAGAGTCCAACCTTCCTTCCACAAACAATGATACTAAGTACCCATCACATCTTCCCACCTGCCTGGCTGTTCCCCCTCTCCTGCACTGGTTTAAAACAAGCCTGGCCCACTCCCCTCCTCCTTTTTCCCAGCTTTGGTTGGAAACCGCAGGAGTTGTGCCCCTTTGACGTCTTTCAGAAGGGTCTGCAAAAGTGAGCCAGTGTGACCCCAGTGCCTGGGTCCAGCCCCCAAGACCTTGAACAAGGAAAGCGCCTAGCACAGTGCCTGGCACGTTTCCGCACTTCGGTAAATGGGTTCAACAAATCCCAGTCCTTCTCAAGATCACCTTAGAGCTCGTTCTCTGTCTTCACTCATACGCTGGCTTCTGGTATGGGTTTTACTGTCCATTTCTGGTATTCACTCCTGAAAAATCTTACCCATCTGGCCCCCCAAGGTAGAGCACCAGCGCTGTCCTGTAACGGCACCGCAGCCTCACTCCTGGCCTTGCGAGGCATGCCTCTTCAGGCAGGTGGGCCGCAGGTGAGATAATTATATGTGTGCACCCATCAGCCTACATTGCAAATGAAACCCCGAGATTCCAGGGGCAGGGAAAACAGCCACATTCCAGGAAAGGCATTTTCACTTTATTTAAAAATTATTTACAGTTTATTGAGCTTTCATAAATGCTTTATTTTAAAATCCTTTTTTTCTTTTTTTTTAAAAATAAACTTACTAACCTGAAGAAAAACTTTAGAGGGGGGATAAGGAGGGGAGTGGTGACAGGCTCTCATTAGGGGGTTTGCCAAGGGATGGATGTAATGCAACAGCAGTAGCCTGAGCCTGGAGGCCTAAGGGCTAACGAAAAGAGAAGACTAGCTAGGCAAGCCCCTTTGGGCCAGTGGTCATCTGGGCATGAAGACTGCATAAGGGCAGTTTTTGTTAGAAACTCTGTTCTCTGGTCTGGACCTGAGGCACCCAGCGCCGAGAGCTGACCCTGTGCCGATTCTTACCAGGTAGGAGCAGGTGTTGGGAGTGGGTGGCCATGGACTTACCTACAGGAAGTCATGCACTGCTGGGCCTCAGGCCAGGCTGGGCAAGGGGCATGTTGACGTGAATAACAAACATATGGCTGGAAGAAAAGTCATCCCCAGCTGGAAAGTCTCTACTTCCACGTGCTGTGACCCTCCTGTCTGAAACACCTGCTCTGATTGGGTGGGGAACGGGGAACCAAGTTACATAGACTGTAGGTTGTACTACTGTACAACCCCAGGGTACACCAAGACACTGAGGACTCCCACTTCTTGATGGGTGCCAGCCTTCCTGCTGATTTGACAGTCTCGAGAAGACCACTTATAACTAAAAATCTGTCACTCACTGCCCACGATTCACTTCACTCTGCATTGCAGAAACTCCAGTCTGAATGTTCCACTAGTTAAAATAGTGCTTTTTAACCCTTGGTAGGTCTGACACCTTTGGGAATCTTATGAAAGCGTTAGCCCTCTGGAAAACACACATAAGAACATATACATTAGATTCTGAATACAATTTCAGGGGTTTCGTGGACCTCTGAAGTCCACCTATGGACCCCTGAAGTCCACCTATGGACCCCTGGGGTGATGGACCCCAAGTAAAGAACCCCTGAGTTAAAGGTTCCCATGGGTTAGTGAGCATTTTCTTTTGAGATGCAAATAACCCAGAGGAATTATCAGCCTCTCTTCCCCATGTGATTACTGATTGAAGGGGCGTGGGGAGGCAATGGCTTTGGAGTTGGGGGTGGGCGTGGGGGGATGGTATACCAGAGGGAAAATTTTGGGAATGGTTTGGAGATTCAGCAGGCGGCACTGGATTACTGGATGCCTGACCGAGGGCACCTAGGGGTGGGAGACAGTTTAGATAAGGGAGACGGGTATCCAGAGACAAACTTCACTTACTTCCAAGTTTTCCCTGAGACTGGTTGAGCTTCAGAATCAGAACTATTTCTATTCTTGGAAGTAGTTATGTGCAGTCATTCTGCCATCTGGTGGTTATTCTTAGAGTTGCACTGTCCCCAACATCCAGGTGAAAAACAGAGATCTGATAAATTCTTTGGAGTCCCAGTGGCACACTGGTTAAGTGCTCAGCTGCTAACCGAAAGGCTGGCAGTTCAAACCCACCAGCTGCTCCACAGGAGAAAGCTGTGGCAGTCAGCTTCCATAAATATTACAGCCTTGGAAACTCTATGGGGGCAGTTCTACTCTGTCCTATAGGGTGACTATGAGTCGAATCGACTTGACGGCAAGGAGTTTGGTTTTTTTGTTTTGGTTTTTTGTTTAGTAAATTCTTAAAGTACACTTAGCTGACTTGCTGTGGTAGAGTAAGGGGTGAGGGTAGGGGTCGGAAAGGATGGGCAAGAGTGACTTCCAACATTCCTGTGTAGTCACACCGCAGTCCCACAAGAGCCTGTATCCTCCTTGGCTGACCTGTGCACTCTTTGGTTTGTCATGGCTACACTTGCTTAGAATTTTTTTCACATAAGTTTCTTTTTCTTATTTTCCTTTGATTAGCACTTAAAACCTGAAGTTCCATCTCTGGCTCCCAACTGAGTCTCCCTGCTCCCTGCTCCTCCTCTTCAGAGCAGATTTATTGATTGCTCGATGGCTGCTGACTGAGAGCCAAAACAGATGCGTCCCTGGGAAAAACAATGACTTGAGGCTCCAACTCACATTCTTTCCGTTCCAGTTGAGACACACTTCCCCAGGCTGCTGGAATCCTTATCTAACAGGAAACCAGCCATACCAACATGGCCTAGTCCCACTGCTCTAAAGTTCTGGAGGAATTCTTGGTCCTTCCCTGAACTAGTCCTCACGCCTGCTATCCAGCCTCCCTCCATCTGCCTGTCTGCCAGTGGCACCTTCTGAGTTAAGCTAAGCATAGAATATGGTAGAAAGTTATCATTTTGTTCTGGAGAAAGAAATGGTGACTTCCAGGACATGGGTGTCCTATGGCATCAGGGGCCCCAGAGTGGCATTGTCAGCTTGGGGTCATTTCTTCTCCGGTCCCAGATTGTGCAATGGACAAGACCATTTCTAGCATGTCCCACTGGAGGTACTGCCTTCCGTTATGGCTGCAGGAAGGCTCTGAGTCAAATTGGAGGCAAAGAGGGAAAATGTGCCGAACTGACAGCTAAGGTGAAAAGGTGGAAAGGAAAGCAGAATGCTCTGTCACCTGTGGGAGGCCTCAGGGTGAAGCAGGTGATGGGAGGGTGGGTTCTCCCCCAAAGCTCTGGAATCTCATACATCCAGAGAATGCTCTTTGCCCTGTCATGTGATCAGAGGTGTTAAATTGGAGTTCTCCTCAGAAGTTCTTTCCCCATCTGGTGACCGCTTCCTTTTCCGACCACCTGAAAAATAGTTTGTAAGTATCAATTTGTAAGACTAGGAAAATCACACTCTCCCAGTGGTCCCAGCAAAATAGAAGCAGAAATGGAAACAAAACCCTTGACACTTTGGCTGGAACTAATCTTCACGGTATCTTGGTGCTGATATGGACCTATCTGCATTTTAAAGGACTAGGAAGCACCCTCCACCTGGGATGACATCTCTCAAAAGCCACAAACCTACATTAGTGCCAAACAGAACTGAGATTTCCTGGAGGGGATTGAGTAAATTCCATGTAATGGGAAGGAGGTGCTTGTCAGCTAACTGAAAGGTTGGTGGTTTGAACTCACCAGCAGCTCCACAGGGGAAAAGACCTGGAAATCTGCTCCTGTAGAGACTACAGCCTAGGAAACCCTACGGGACAGTTCCACTCTGTCCTATAAGGTTGCTATGAGTTGGAATCAACTCGATGACATACAACAATGTAATGGGATTGTACCTTCTTCACCCCCTGAAGGTCCCAGCCCTAAGGATCCCTAGACACTCTCTGTGAGACAACTGGTCTCACAGCCTTTGATGTGCCATGAGCCAGGGCTAGTGGGTGTGATGGGGAGCCATTCCCAGGGACCTACATTCTCTAACTGAAGCAACCTCCCTTCTATGCCAGGGAAAAATCAAAAAACCAAACCAGTTGCTGGCTAGTTGATTCCAACTCATGATGACCCCATGTGTTGCAGAGTAGAACTGTGCTCCATAGGTTTTCAAGGATGTGACCTTTGGAAGCAGATCACCAGGTCTTTCTTCCAAGGTGCCTCTGGGTGGGTTTGAACTGCCAACCTTTCAGTTAGTAGCCAAGAGCTTAACCGGTTGCACCACCCAGGGATTAGTATTAGGGAAGGCAGCGGTAATTAAATAATTGACCTCAGGGATGGAAGAGCAATCTGTTCCCAGCTTTGTTGTTTTTAGGAAGGAGAATTTTTCACCTCGTTCTCTCTGTTAGTGACTCCCTCCCCTGGAGGACACCGCTTTCTTTTCTACTGAGTCTACTAGACCCGGGGTCCATAAGCTCTTTCTTTAAAGGGCTGAATAGTAAATCTTATAAGCTTTGCGGGCCATATGGTCTCTGCCATAACTACTCAACTCTGCCATTGTGACTATAGATAATAGGTAACAAATGGGTGTGTTTTGGATCCAATACACCTTTATTTACAAAAACGGGCCGGGGTGGGGGGTAGGGAGGTACAGGCAGGATTTGGCCTGCAGGCATGGTTTGCCAACCCGTCCTAGATTACCACCAACTGAATGGGTCAGATTCCCTAACTATCCAGGGTGTCTTACGGCCCAAGCCATGATTTTATACCTCCTTGTTGTTGTTAGGTGCCATCAAGTCAATTTCGACTCATACTGACCCCCTGTGACCGAGTAGAACCGCCCAGTAGGGTTTTCTAGGCTATAATTTTTACAGGAGCAGATTGCCAGGTCTTTTTCCTGTGGAGTCGCTGGGTGGGTTTGAACCCCTGACATTTTGGGTAGCAGTCGCACACTTAACAATTGCACTACCAGGCCTCCATTATACCTCCTTCCAAAACAAACCAAACCTGTTGCTGCCAAGTCGATTCCAACTCATAGCAACCCCATGTGACAGAGCAGAACTGCCCCATAGGGTTTCCAAGGCTATAATCGTTACAGAAGCAGACTGCCACAGCTTTCTCTCATGGAGTGGCTGGTGGTTTGAACCACTGACCTTTCGGTTAGCAGCCAAACACTTAAACACTGAGTCACCAGGGCTTCTTTATAGGGTTCCCCAAAAGGAGTTAATGGTTCTTCCTCCTAATGTGCTTTTCCTACAGCCAACCAGCTGGTGAGAGGCTTTTATCTGGGTAAGGAGCTACTCACTCAAGGTTTTCAGCAGCTTCTTGCCCACAGTTTCCTCAGAGTCGCTACTGCAGGGACTGGTCTCTGTGTCCAGGTTGATATTACAACAATCACTATCTGATGCTATGCAAGAAAAGAAAAAGATAACTCAAGTTTTTTTTCCAACCCACATACCCAGGGATCAAGGAAGGGTGATTCTGGTTGGTGTTTCTCAGCAGGTGAAAGTTCCAGACAAGGGCTGAGGCAGCAGTGGCCATAACTGGGGAGGGATGCCTACGAAGGCTTTGGCTCTAATTAGCAAGAGGCATGTTAGTGCCACAAAAGGAACAAACAGATGGAGAACAGAAGCGGGGATCCAACTATCCGTGCAAAGTCAGAAATAACTCCCTCTCCTCCAATGCTGTTTGGCAAGAGAAAGAGAAAGAGAACAATATGTTCTCCACCCAGTATCCTTGGCTGACAAAAAGCACAGACCCTGGAAAATTACAGGGCTCAGTGATGATTAAGCACATACCCCTGTATCCTCTCATGGGACATGGTGAGAGCCACAGAATCTCAGACAGCCATAGAATCTCAGAGCTGGGAAGGGGTCCAAATCTTTACCGACAATGCAATAAGCACCTAACGAGAGGGCAAAGTGGTGTGGTGGAAACTGCACTGCCCCAAAAGCCTGAGTTTCATCCCAGCTCTGCTTCTAATGAAGTCTATAGCCTTGGGCAAGTCCTTTCCCTTCTCCAGGCCTCAGGGTCCTCATGTATCACAGACAATCTCCAAAGACTACCCTATCTCTTCCATTCTTATTCCTTTGATACATTTTCTTGCTACCTGCTTTACCTACTGTCATGGATTGACAAAAATATCTGTCAACTTGGCTGGGTCATGATTCCCAGTGTTGTATGATTGTGTACCATTTTGTAATCTGATGTGATTTCCTTATGTGTTGTAAACTCTATCACTATGATGTAATAAGCTGGATTAGCTGGCAGTTATACTGATGAGGTCTACAAGATTAGATAGTGTCTTAAGCCAATCTCTTTTGAGATATAAAAGACAGAAGCGAGCAGAGACACATGGGAACCTCATACCACCAAGAAAGCAGTGCCAGGAGCAGAGCGCATGCTTTGGACCTGAGGTTCCTGTGCTGAGATGCTCCCAGACCAAGGGAAGGCTGATGCATCACAAGGATCTTCCTCCAGAGCAGACAGAGAGTGAAAGCCTTCTCTGGAGTGATGCCCTGAATTTGGACTTCTAGCCTACTAGACTGGGAGAATAAACTTTCTCTTTGTTAAAGCCATCCACTTGTGGTATTTCTGCTATAGCAGCACTAAATGACTAAGACACCTAAATGTGGTGTATGCAGTTGAAAAAGAACATCATTTCCAAGTTCAGATGCTGGAACAGTGATTATGTGTCCCAGATTTTCTGGGTCAGTCACAAGTTCCAACATGTAGTTTCGCTGACCTCAAAAATATCTGAGCAGTGTCAGGTCACTGCTCTGGACTTATACCATGGACTAGGGTAGGCCTGGAAGGTCAAGTAGGTAACATCTGGCCTGGGGGTGGGCTCAGGGGCTGCTGAAAGCTTAGGGAGTATATCTTAGCGAGGCAAGCACAGAACGATCTCAGGACTGGTAGGACACTGGGAGCTTGAAGAAACATCACTGTCAAGACTGAAGCGTTCAATGCCTCAGAGACTTCAGGACAAGTCCCACAGACTACCCATGGTCTCTGGGGCTCAAAGGAAGGACAGAGTCCTGTTAGTAAGAGTAATGACTGACCTCAGTTTCCTTATCTGTAAAACAGGTCCAATAATAACTACCTAGTATTTATGGTGCACAGTGCCAAGCAGTGGTCTTTAAAGATGTGATCTTTATACATATTATTTATATAGAAAACTGCCTCTTGAGATAGGTGCTGTGATATGTATATAGCCACATAAAGAAACATCTATTAAGATAAGGGAACCGAGTCTCAGGCCATACTATCTTCCTAGGAGAATGAATTAAAATTGAGGCCTGATGGGCAGTAGGTGTTCAATAACAGTTAGTTTCTCTTACCTGGTTGTGGAAGGAGTGGGAAGTTTCCCACAGGGCTGGGGTCCCAGCACTCCCCACACCCAGCTCTCCCTGGGCCATCCCAGTGCCCAAGGGTGGTGATCCCTTTTGTCCCCCTGGGCTGGCTTGCCCTCCCTGACCTGCTTTTGTGAGAACAGCTGCAGGAGACAGCAAGAGTTGCTGTGTGCCGTGCTCCTCGAAGTCGGCCATGTCCTCCTGAGTGAAGGCCATCTCCTCCATCCTCAGGTACACTACCTCGCCTGGGCTTCTCAGCCCATCTGAGCAGCTGCCTGGGGAGGACAGCGAGGACATCACCTCTCTGCTTTGGAGAACACCCGGGGCTCCGCAAGGCACAAGATGGCAGCCCAGGGCAGGGCTGAGGGAGGAAGGCAGGGCCATCCTCACCCCGCGGCAGCCCAGGCATCGCCCAGCTGACTTACACGGCAGGCTGTTCCTTTTGTTCAGGAGGGTGACGGCAGGGTCATCCTTGGGGGTCTGGGGTGTGCCCCGGGTAGTCGGGGCCTTGGTGGAATCTCCGACAGCGAAGGCCTCCATGTCGGGAGATTGGGGTGAGCTGTCCATGTGGCTGGCGGTGAGCGCATTCTGGTACTGCTGCCGTGTGATCTAGAAGGAAGAGGCAGGGAGGGGCAGAAGCTCAGGATGCAGCCAGCCTTTCTGAGCCCAGAAGCAGCCCGCTGGAGTGCTTTGGAACCCCTGGCTTTTGCTGCCAGAGAGACCCATGAACTGGGGGCAGAGGCATAACTAAGGTATGGCAGATAGGGCCCGTGCCCTGGGCACCGCTTGAGGAGGGGCACTAAGGAGCAGTTTCTACTGGCCATTGACGCTTCCATCGCCAGCTGTGAGATATCATTCAGCAATTTAACACTGATTGCTATAAGCATTATTTTCCATAGATAAGCCCCTGAGTCTGGGGGCTTACCAAGCTGTACCAGCCCAGTGGTGAGGGACAATGAGAGGACTCTGCTTGTTTGCCAGAAGTTCCCACTGTCCATTTTTATTGGCTCCAGACCCTGACTTCACCCCTGGAGGAGCCATCAAACCATCTTCTCCTGAGACCCTAGAGAGGGCGGAGGGCATTTTTGCTCAGCAAGGTGGTATCCAAGGAGATGTTTAAAACGTTGTTTACACTGTAGCCAAGGACTCTCTTCCTGAAGGGTTAGTCGGTGGGGGACTTGCCGAGAATAAGGCAGGACTCTGTTAAGAGCGCTGGCCCTAGGTTTTACTGTTAGGAAGCTGGAGGCTGAGGCATTTGATTTGGACTTCACCTATCCCTGGATGTAGGCAGGATCAATGTTGGAAAGGTCTGCAGCAGTGTTATCTCCCAGATTTCTCCTTGGATCACAGGAGTCATACCAGTCACCTTCCGGATGTGTCAAACCTCACCCCCATGTGAAGACATCTGGCACAGCTCCTCCAGAAGAAAGTTAAGTTTCAGCCAGACCAGAAGGGAAATTCCATAATTTCAGGCAGGAAAAATATGGATCAAATGTGTCTTCTGGAAAATGGGAAGAAGGTTTCTCTGTCATCTCTGTTCTCTGGGTGTATGCCACAGATTGGTGCTGTGAATCCTCGTTCGCAGTGATAATAGGCTCGTTTTTGCACTACCCAGTAGAGGAACATGATACTGCTAACCAATGAATGGCACTGGGGCAGGGACGGATTACCCACTAAGCAAGGTACACATGGGCTTACTTGTGCTTATTTACTAATCTGCAGTGCACAATTTCACCTGTTTTTCACTGTGGTGAAACCCATCTGAAATTGTTCACTACAGATCAGTAAATAAACGCAACTAAGCCTGTGCATACCTTGCTTAATGTAAGCCTCTGTGTACTTTGCTTACTGGTTAGTCCACCCCTGCACTGGGGAAAAACAAAGACGGCACAAGGCACAACATCCTTCCCAAATCCTACAATCTCCTAATGTGTTTTCATCCCTTCTTCATGTGCATTAAGCTAGAAAACTGGCAAAACTACAAATTCTGCTCATTCTGCCTTCTCTTTCCTTTAGGGGCAGAACTGGTATTACATGTTGGAACAATGAAGATGTCTGGCTGACAGTAGAGAAGAAATGGGTAAGATTTATACACTGGAACAGAGAGTGGGCTTGAAGTTGGCTTGGCATCTTGCAAGGGCTCTTTCAACAATGGCCACTTCACTGCTGAGTTCTCAGCACCTGCTCTCCTAGCCCTTCTTTCCCCTCTGGCTTTGATGTGTTCCATGCCTGGCCTCTCTGGGGATCTGTGGGTGATGGTCAAATCCTAGACTGGCCTTGAGTCGACTGCAGATGGCACATTACTCACACCCTGTGAGGTTGACTCTCCATCACCACTGGCTCATCCCAATTCTGCCTTCCCCATCCACCAGGATTCCCTCCTTTCCTTTCTGTGCAGGCTGTTGCTCTGGCCTTTTTTATTGGCTAGATGAGTTACTTTTTTTGGCTTTATTGTTCTATAATGTTCTCACTACATTTCCCGGGTCCTACGGTCCTCCAATTACTCCAAAATGTTTTAACATCACCAAAGCCAACAAGAGCTTCTTGACACACTCTCTTGTCTTCAGAATTATTTAGCACTTATCCTGAATATTAGGCTACAATCGTCCCCCAAATATTTAACCTCAACAACCATTCAGGCAGCTTTTTCATAAAAGGAAACCTGTTTTCCTCCCAGTTGGAGATCCATTACATTGCTGCGCGTTATCAATCCTTTCTTTCTTCTCTAACAAACTTCAGGATATTGCATGAGGATCAAGCAAATTCTAAGCACAACTAATCTAATCACAAAAACACCAAGAATATATGTTTTTCTGTAATATTCAGGGAACACACATGTGCAGAAATCCCAGGCTCTTAATCACATAAACCAAATCTATTGCCGTGGACTCAGTTCAGACTCACAGCCACCCTATAGGACAGAGTACAACTGCCCCATAGTGTTTCCAAGGAGGGGCTAGTGGATTCGAACTGCCAACTTTTGGTTAGCAGCCAAGCTCTTAACCACTGTGCCACTAGGGCTCCTTAATCATCATACTACCCTGGAATTTCAGTGGACAAATACAGTTCTCTTGATAGTTTACATCAGGGCTTCGAACCTATTTGTTCCAGTTCAACCCCCTGCTGAGATTTTGCACCCACCCAAGATATACTGAATCAGAATCAACAACATCTTGTTAAAATGTAGATGTATACATAAGAATCACCTGGGGATCTTGTTAAACTGTTGATTCTGATTCAGTATATCTGGAATGGAAATGCAAATTCTCAACAGGGGGTTGAATCGGACGGAACCAGTTTGAAGCCCTGGTTTAAAACAGTGGTTCTCAAACCTTGCAGTGCATCAGAATCACCTGGAGGACTTGTTAAAATACAAATTGCTGGGCTCCACCCCCAGAGTTTCTGACTCAGTAGGTCAAAGTGGGGCCTGAGAATCTACATTTCTAAGAAGTTTCCAGGTGATGCTGATGTTGCAGGTCTAGAGACTACACTTTGAGCACCACTGACTTAAGATCTAATTAAAATCAGACATAGATTCTGCTCAGGTACTCCCCCCCACACCCCCCCCCCTGCTTTAAAGGATTTTAAAGGCTAAAGCAGCCAAGTGTTGAGTGTTTTGATACTTTTCAGGTCAAAACTAAATCTTCTATGCTTTATGCTACAGAACCATGGGGTCTCAACTGAGCATTTGTCTAAGGTCTTCAACAGATTGAATGCTCTTGTTGAGAAAACCTGACTTTCGCAGTCTCCTCTGTTGGGAAGTAAGGTAACTTTTCACCTGGGTGAGAAGTAAGGTCTCAAGATTTCTCCCAAGAGATATCAGCTCTGGAGCCTGCCCTCAGATAGTCTAAAACCTTATCTTTGGTCTAGCTCACAGAATATCAAGCATGTGTTAGAGATTTCAACCACCAATTGTCTGTGATACAGCCCATGCTGATAGCTCTGGGACATGGAATACTACTTCAGATAAAGGGTCACAGTGACATGATAATTATTCATCCCTGTGGGACAGTGGTTCTCAACTTTGGCAGAGCATTAGAATCACTTTGGGGAGCTTTAAAAAAATCCCAACGTGCAGGCAACACCCTTGTGCAATTATATCTAAACCTCAGGGTGAGGCCCAGACATTAGTGGTGTTTAAAGTTCCTCAGGTGACTCCAGTGCACAGCCAAGGCTGAGAACCACAGCCCTTGAAATAACACACACTTGAAAATTCCCCCTGTAACCAATGATGACCTTGGCTCCCCTTGATAATTGCCATCACTGATGCTGAACTTCATGCTGGACACCCAGCTTTTATAAAAAGGTTGAAATAACAAACCTATGAAACCAATACATATTATTATTTCTTATGCCCCCCATAGTCATAGAAATCCATTTGCTAAATCTTTCAAGGAATTACTACAAGGAAAGAGTTCCTTTCACAAGATGAATTATATACTTCCTTATATTGGAAGTATATAATTGTTTCCCCTCTTTGCTTTTATGGCCAGGAAGCTCACAGATAGATCTAGTGTTTACCTGCAGTAACTAACTCATTCCTGATAGCTCCTCACACTGGTTTGCAGTTCATTTTCATTTTTTTATTTAAAACATCATTGAATTGTTTGTTTTTGTTTTTTGGAAATCATATACATTACTAGAAGTCCTATAAATATTCTAAAGAGATAGAACTAATATTAGAAAGTTTTCAAATGCTGGTGAAACCACATATCTGCATAATGCTTTATGGCTCACAGAGCATTTGCCAAGTCAATTACGACTCACAGTGACCCTACAGGATAGAGCAGAACTGCCCCATAGAGTTTCCAAGGAATAGCTTATGGATTCGAACTGCCAATCTTTTGGTTAGTAGCCCGAACTCTTAACCACTTCGCTACCAGGGCTCCAACTTACTTAGATATGTGTTATCTCCTTTGCTGTTCATAATGACTGTATGGGGTAGGCATGAGAGGTCTTGGAATCTCCATTTTACAAGTGAGAAAATGAGGTCAGAAAGGTTGAGGGACTCTCCTCAGTTTGGCAGCTAGAAGAACAGGGCTAAGTGCAAGCCTTTAGAGCTTTAGCCCAAGTATTGTCTCATGCAGTGTTTTGCCTGGGAAGGTGCCACTCACTCTTTGGTGCCAGGGAGATTGAAGGTGAAGTGAGAGTGTGAACTCCAAGTTTTCAGAGGGGAATCTCCAAAGTCTAATAATGGTGCTCCTTTCAATCTGGATATTTCTGCTAAAGAGCTATAAGCTCCTGCTCTCCAAGGAAAATGGTCTGTGTCTCGACTCCACACACTGCAAACGTATCTGGCTGTGTTAGGCTGCCTTTCATATGGCCACTTATGCTGCCTTTTATAATCCTTTAGGGAAGATGATTCAAAGACTCAGTGCCCTAATAACTGCTTTGCAGTGGTGGGATCTGTAGGCATCTCCAATACTGAAAAGCAGCTGCCTCCTGGCCTGAACCATGGTCTTCATGAAAACCCAACTTTGTAATGTTCCCATGGGTTTTCTGAAGATGAAGCTTTCCTTGGGTCTTGTAGTTTCTCTTGGCTTAAAGGACAAAAAAAATTCCTAAATGACACCCAACAAGCCCAGCACAGCACTTGATATTATTCTGTT